CCTGGGCCGCAGCTCCCGGGCGGCCCTGCTGACCGAGCGGACGCGGGTGGGTTGTCCCCCTCCCCCCCCAGACCCCAAACCCGCCGTTTTTTTGGGGGGGATTTGGGCAATCCGGAGGTCCTCGCCCCGCAGAACGAGCTGACGGCGGAGGAGAAGCGCCGCGCCCACCAGAAGGAGTTGGCCACCCAACTCAACGAAGAGGCCCGCCGGCGGCTGACGGAGCAGAAGGGCGAGCAGCAGATCCAAAAGTAACCCCCAACCCCCTTCTTCTGGGGCAAAAGCCACCGCTTTTGGTCCACGTGGACCTCCCGGCGTCACCCGCGTGTCCCCCCAGGGCGCGGAAGTCCAACATCTCCTACAAGAACCCGGCCTTGATGCCCAAGGAGCCCCACATCCGGGAGATGAAGATCTACATCGACAAGAAGTACGAGACGGTCATCATGCCCGTCTTCGGCATCGCCACCCCCTTCCACATCGCCACCATCAAGGTGGGGACAACCCCACGGGGGTCTCGGGGTTCAGCTCGATGGCCAACGTTGGGTTTGGGGGTTCACCTTGACCACCAGCATTGGGTTTGGGTTGGTTTGGGGTTCACCTTGACCATCAGCGTTGACTTTTGGGGGTCTGGAGGTTCACCTTGATCTCCAACGTTGAGTTTTGGAGGTCTTGAGGTTCACCTCGCCCATCAACGTTGGGTTTGGGTCGGTTTGGGGTTCACCTTGACCATCAGCGTTGACTTTTGGGGGTCTGGAGGTTCACCTTGCCCATCAACGTTGGGTTTGGGGGTTCACCTTGATCTCCAACATTGAGTTTTGTTGGGTCTTCGGGTTCATCTTGATCTCCAACATTGAGTTTTGGGGTTCACCTTGACCACCAGCGTTGGGTTTGGGTGGGTTTGGGGTTCACCTTGACCATCAGCGTTGACTTTTGGGGGTCTGGAGGTTCACCTTGAAAACGTTGGGTCTTGGGGTTCACCTTGACCACCAACATTGGGTTTGGGTGGGTTTGGAGTTCACCTTGACCATCAGCGTTGACTTTTGGGGGTCTGGAGGTTCACCTTGACCATCAACGTTGGGTTTGGGCGTTCACCTTGACCACCAGCTTTGGGTTTTGGGGGTCTTGGCGTTCAGCGTGATGACCAGCGTTGACTTTGGTGGGTCTTGAGGTTCACCTTGACCTCCAACGTTGAGTTTTGGGGTTCACCTCAACCACCAGCATTGGGTTTGGGTGGGTTTGGCGTTCATCTTGACCTTCAGCATTGAGTTTTGGGGGTCTTGAGGTTCACCTTGAGCTCCAACGTTGAGTTTTGGGGTTCACCTTGACCACCAGCATTGAGTTTTGGGCGTCTCAGGGTTCACCTTGACCATCAAGGTTGGGTTTGGGGGTTCACCTTGACTTCCAGCATTGAGTTTTGGGGGTTT